GGGGGGGGGAGGGAGAGAGCATCTGTTGGTAGAAAAGTGTGTGAGAAAAGTGCTTCAAACAAAAAAAAATAAGCTCGCGAAAGCATATTCTTTCATTCAAAATGTTTTAAAATATTAGTGTATATTTCCACTAATTTAGTGAATGTCAAATTTCAAATTGTTTCACAATTTCCATTGTAAACAAGCGATGCAGTAATGCGGTATCAATCTATTTTTCCAAACAAGCTTTGTTGTATTTGTCTACAATCAGTATGCTTGATGCCCTAGACTGACGAAATACTCCAAGAAAACAAAGAAGGAGCGGAAAATAAACTCAGAGGAAACCATTCTTCTGGGTATGAACGTTGTTTAGGCCTTTAAAAGGCGTGCTATATATAAATCATACTGCGAAAAAAGTCTTTTGGGACTGTAGGTTAGAGACGACTTGTTTTCATTTCGTGGCTCAAGTATTCTCTCAAAAGTTAGCTTTTGCTTTTTACTTTAAAGCAGTTTTCAGGTTCTCCGTGTTTGATTCATTTAACAGAGGGGATGTGAAGGCAATATATTCTTAGGAGTAGTGTCGTAAAGAACATTTTTGTCATAGTGAATATAATTTTTATTGCAATACAAACTTCTGCTTACAGAAGTTTAACAAACTTCTGTAAAGTGTACCTTTAAACTGCTCTGTAAGTCTGTTAATTTTGTAATTTAAAGAAAGAAAATCTTCATGAGCATCAAATTTCAAAGTCACTCATAACTGCAATAATTAATAGTCTTTTCATCATTTTTTAAAACAATTGGTAATTCATCCTTAAGGATCTCCAGAGGAGAATTAATCTTAAATTTAATCTTTCCAAATGCGAGATGTACTACGAAGAAACGGTTAAAATATTTGGCGGCTAATTAATTAAGCACACCCATTAATGAAGATTTCTAATAGATATCCGAAATTATAATATTACATACCACAAGCCAGTTTTAGACTTTCTGTAGTAATAAGGCTTCATAATTCGGCTATCAAAGGTACACGTAATAAATGTGCTCCTTCAATTTCCAGGTTAATCAAAATCCGGTTTATCAGATCTATGCCACGATTATTGCATTTTATGGCCCAACATGTATCATGATAATATTATATGCAAAAATGTGGTTGGCTGCTAAACGATTAGCTGAACGTGATCGTATGTTGACAGTTGGAACAAATGGAAGTGTTAATTGCACTAGCCTTGCCAAGTCACATATTAGTCCAGCTAGCTTAGGTGATCCATCAAATCGAAGTAGTCGTCAACAATACCATCATTATCATCGTTCTTCAGCAATTTTACAAAGAATACCAATGGTACAGTTTCGAATGTTACAACTACTCTTTTCATAGTTTTGATTAAAATTAAGTAAAACCAGTTGAAAGTTATCAACATAATAGACTTCAAGTTTTTACTTAAATTGCTTTAAAATTTTCAGTCTCAGTTAATTTTGGTCTTAGTAAAATTCTTTTGCAATAACTAAGCTTCAATTAGTTATAGTTTTACCTGTTTTTAAAAACAACACCTGAACACCAATTTTCTTTGAATAGGATTGCAGAATTGCAGTGGAAATATCCTATCATTGGTTTAATTAGGAAATTTTAATTTAGAAGTGTAGAGCCTGGCAAATAAAAATACGCGAATTTCCTTTCACCATATATTTGAAAAACCTATTTTTCGAATTCCCCTTTGATCAAAAATAGGTTTGAAGGAAGACAATGCTCGTTTTTTATAATTCTTCTGACCTTGTCATTTTTAATTACAAACAGTAGTCACGGGACTGGCAGAAGTAAATAACTTTCAAGCCAGTACAAATGTTTGTGCCATGGTCATTCCAGTCTTTCAAACACAACTTTTCAGCTAGAGAGACCATGACTAATTTTCTAGGTGCATACCAATAAATTTCAAGAAAAAAGTGAAGGAAAAGCACGTAAGACGCTCGGTATAATGATGAGTGTTTTTGTGATATGTTGGTTACCATTCTTTCTATTGGCACTCCTCAAACCCCAGGGGCTCTTGCCGCCAAGTTGGTTGGATCATCTGGCACTTTGGCTTGGTTATTCAAACAGGTTTGTCAGTGTTTCGTTTTGGTATCAGCACTTTTATTGAAAAATCCATTGAATAAAAGAAATTACCTTTCTAGATCTAATTAATGAGCCTGAAAACTCATGGCTGGAATTATCTTTCGTCTATAACTTTCAATTGCACCATACAAAAAGGGAAGAGAAACTCTAGATATATTTGAAATTGTAAGATAAGGGACGACAAGCTAGTTATCCTTTTTGTTCTATTCGTGGTTTCAAGCCGAGAATAAGAAAAGATTTTCAGCCTAATGAATCCATTAATTTACTGTAAACATAATCGCGAGTTTCGTGTACCCATTCGCGAAATGTTATGTTGCCGTTTTCGTACTCTGCATTCTGTAATGCGGAAAGAAAGTTTTACGAGCAAATACGGCCCTTCAAGGTAACAACAGATACTTTTATTTAAAAAGAGCCGAAAATCTTTCAAATTGCTAGGTTTTTAACGCTTTTCTTATTGCATTAAAAGAACGAAACCAGTCAATTTCCATCTTCGGAACTGACGGAGTAGCAAAGATTTTAAAAAAAACAATTGCGAGACAGCTTCACTACTGAATATCCTAGCTAGTTTATTTTACTAGAACCTGCAGTAAATAGTAACATATTTAGAAAGTAAGTTTAGTTCTTAAACTTCACATCTATTTTAGGTAAGCAGTAGATGGTGGCACTCTTGAAGTTTACACGAAGGATGACTTTAAATCAAAATTTAAGATTAACATCGTGATTGAGCAAATGTTTTCTCAAAAGTAATAATTTCAGGTCTCGAGCAATACAGAGCACACAGATGATACTAAAATCATCTGCCATTTGAAAAAAAAAACATTATGGGCAAGCTAAAATTTTGACAACTTTAGTTATTGTGTGTTCTACATACATTCTAGGTATGCAAATTCTTTGTTTTTCTCTAATTGTGCTAGCATTACTTCTATGCTACCAATTATGCCAAATATGATTTTTAATCCGATCTCAGCGACGTATATTTTTCCAGTTCCTACCAGTTATTATCATTGCTTTTTTGGGCGAAAAACATTAGAAACTGCGATTTCACATAACACTCCATTTATAAAGAAGGAAACCGTTAAAAAGGAAGTTATCCCCACTAAACGCCTCGCACGCTATCAGAACAGCAAGCGACAAGAGTTAGCGACAAGGTATACCGGAACAGGTGTTCCAGAAATCTCAAGCACATGGGAGAAAACGATTATAACCTCAAGTTCAGATAAAAAGTCGTCTAACCATAGAATATTAGCTTAGAAATTAAATGACAATGAACTAAGAAAAGAAAAACTAAAGAAAGCAAGACTTGGATTGGTTATGCTCGGTGAACAACAGAAAGCTTCACTGGCTTCCTACCGACAATTCCCCTTAGAAACTTTGAAATCTCTTGGAAGCTTTGAATGAGATTCTGCTAAACATCTTTTATGTGGTTGAGTCATATGTATTTCGACTAATGTCACTCTTCAAATAGTATCTGAAATACGAATATGTTTTCTCAGATATGTAATTAGGTAACTAATCAGGTAACTGCAGAATTATAATTGAATAAGCAATAAACCACAAAGATTTCTTGGAAATGATATGACTCCATTTGATTAATGCAAGAAACCATTCTCGCTGCAAATGCTACTCTCTCTAAAATCTGCTCAGAACTGGTAATTAAAAATTGCTTGAAACCCGCTTATTCCAAGCCCACATCCATATAAAAATTCAAAATTAGCAATGAACTACTTTTTTGTTAAAATATTAAGTTAATATATGGATGAATAATTATTGACAGCGGCATGTACAACAAGTAATTCAGCAATGAAGCGTGCTTCAAGGTGTGCTCGCACATCATTTATCCAATCACGTGCTACAAATCTTGCTGGACCGGTCAAAAGTTGTAAAATCCGTACCGCCGAATTCAGATCTCCTTCTGCGACAAAACTTTTTGCTCTTGATAGTATTTCATATGAATCTAATGTCATCGGATCAAATTTTTCCTGAAATTTCCACTGCCTTAGAGTTCGAATTTAATTTTGAAAATCAGCCGATTTTTATCTTCTGCGTAACTGAAAATGCTGTGACATACATCAATTTCATATTTTCTTACGTAATAGAAAAAAGGCTCTCGCTACTTCAGTAAGCAACAAACTCACTAGGTAAAAGTTTGTCTTAAGGATAGGCTTTAAAGAAAGAATATCGTTACCATTTTTGGGAATTTCCCAGGAGGATCGAGGGACATCACATCCTGCAAGTACGACAAACCATACTGTAATACCCCAACATTGTTTTCATCCATTTTAGCCACTCGGCGACAAATCTTATATAACTAAAAAATTGAGTATAGAAAAATATACTGGTGCAAAGAAATGTATAGATGTGAGGAGGTATGAATTAACTGCAAAAATTTTAAATGACTACCTTACTGAATCTTGTCTTCAAATCTTCTTCAGTATATACACCATTATATATTGTTTCATCTGGAAGTGCATTAACCAGACACGCCACAAATTCATCATTACTATCAGCTTCTCGAATCATTTGAAGCTATAAAATATTTTTCCGTAAAAGAACTCTACAAAAATAATTGTAACTGAGTCATATTAAAAAAGAAGCAAGAAATAATAAATTGATTACCTCAGTTGCCAGGGGTTTACGACGTGCATCATCATCAGTACCACTTCTCTCTCCATGTATGACAGAATCGATCAAATTATGAGATGCTATCCATATTTGTTTAGCACGGCGATTTTCGACATCCTTTAAAAAATTTGTAGTGGAGAAAGATAAGTAACTTCTTTGGAATTATTTTGAAAATGAGTTTGTAATTCATCCTGTTTTAGGTACATATTGAATCGCAGAGAAGATCTGACTGGTAACGGCTAGATTCAATGTACAATATTAGACATGTCTTAGAACTTCGAAGTAAGCCAGAAATATAGTGAACCGTGATTATCAGCTGGCCAAGTATAACCAGCGAATAGTAGCTGATTAGGAAATAGTTGCGCAATTAAATAAAGACAAAAAGTTGTAGACAAAGTTAATACAGATATGCGTTTAATTCAATACATAAAGAATCCAAAAAAGATCGAAAGAGATTGATTTCTCTTAAATTTTAGAGAAAAAGCACCTGTGAAGTTCGTGACCTCAAAGCAGTTTCGATCCCCTCTAGTCTACCTTGTGCAACTGCTAACTCTTTGCTAAGTTGAGAACGCTCCTCGACAATCGCTTCTTCAATCTGAAGAACAAAATGCAGTTTCCGTAGAACTGGATAAAAAATGATAATGAAAAAAAGAAATTACAATTATTGGCAATTATCCCAACCACCTGAAAGTATTTTTCGCTCGATTTTTTCTAAAATTATGCTTTTCTAAAACCAACCTTCTGTTTCTCTTCAATTTCAAAAAGACTTCTTTGCACACGCACAACTTCTTCAATATGTTCTGAATGAGCAGCAGCTGCTCTTTGCAGTTTTTCTTCAAGTTCAGCTTCCCAAAGTTCTCTTTGTGTGGAGAGCTGAAATCTGTACGTTTCACAAATATAACAAAAAGCTATAAATTATACCATGAATTAACAATCTAATCCTCACCATTTTCTCAGCTTCCGATTGGATTTCTTCACGAAGTTTTTGCACCTTTAGATTTATTTCCTCCTCGGTTAGTTTACTTTGAGATTTTTTTTGTTCTTCTAAAGCACATGCAATATTCTGTCCTTCGCGAACCTAAAAAATATAATCCTTATCTCCCGGTTATATTTTCGCAAAAAAATCAAATTTTTCGCTCTAAAGCTCTCATTGCCATTTAGAAATAGCATTGTCTTTATTTACCATAGATATATGATTAACCTGCGATAAACACAACAAACAAAATCCGAATTTATTACGAGAGTAAAAATTAAAAGCAAATCTTGCTAGTGAAAAAGTTTAAATTAGAATTTCGACCTAAACGACATCTATAGGATATTGGAGAAATATACCGCCCGAATATATACAAATTCAGAAAAAAGCATACTTGCTGTTCAGCAAGTTGTTTCCTTAACTGATCCACTTTCAAATGTGCATGTGCAATTAATGCGTTCAATTCCTCTTCATTTAACTTAGAATCTGCAACTGAATTGAAAATCATATAGAAGACTGAAGCTCATTCGGTTCTAAAAGTTCTACGGTCCAAATGTTTTAATTCATCACAATTAAAGTGGGTCAATCTCGAAAGTAATAAGTCCGGTTTTTTCACCATTTTTGACAATTACTCAAATTTTTTTCAAATTCTGAAGAAATCAACCTTGCGCATGGATATCAACATTAGGAAGAACTGATTTCAACTCCGATGCAAACTGCTTCCGGCTTTTATCGATCAAATCTTTGTATTCACTGAGAATACGTCCTTCATCACAAGTTTTCTTGATCAGCAAATTCATTTCCTGAAGCTGCCGATCAAGTTTATGAACAGTTTCACGAGCATTTTGCAGTAAAGGATTATTGCGAGTCGGTTCGGTTGCTTCTCCTTGTTCGATCACCTGTAAAACCATCACATTATCGTTCTAAGAAAATCCAAGAAAGGCTCCCAGATAAATAAAAATCCATTACAAGCTGCAATGACCAACCTTCCTGACGTTATCTAAATAATTTCTCGCATCATTCTCTTCCTTGGCATCATTATCCGAAGCTCTATCAACTTTTTGGAGTGCACTTGTTACTTGCGTCCAATCTCCTTTCTAAAAAATACAATAATCATTTAAATGCTATACTGCTATTCTCTATTCTCTACATAAGCAGAAAACCTGTAAATCAAAACCATAGCTAACTTCGCCTTCATCAATCGTTCGTTTCATCACACGCGTATGCTCGTTTATAGCATCGATTGTTCTGTATTTTGCTTCCGTTGCTGAATGCACTTTTTCAATAGCAGACTGCAAAGATGTCTTCAACATCTTTTCTATGGCTGAAAATCATAACAATGACTGGAATTCTCATCAGCGTTCTCATGAGCTTGTAATATACCAAAATAGAGGAAATAATAGACGAAAGACTGTATGAGGAGCTACTAAGATCTGATGCGCACAAAAAGTATGGAATAGAATCAAATGAATTTGATACTTATGCTGTCAAAGGCTTATAAATAAACAATCAACCAATAAAAGAATTTAAATGGATTCTTATCTTCTCAGTATACATTCCATAAATACACACTTCCAGGCTGTGTTCTTTGGAATATTGGTTCTTTTTCCTGGCTTCCTGTCTGTTCAAGAACCTTGGGTGTCGATACCGGCGATGTAGCTGCTTTTAGGATAACATCTGTTTTATGCCCATCTTTTTTCTTGTCGTTTTCGAAATACCTTGAAATAAAAAAAAGGTTTCTTACCTTAAATCTAATAAATCCAGATATAAAAAGGCGATAAAACCAGTATTAGATTGGAAAAAGAAAACTCAAAAGAATTGATAACAGTCTCATGCTGAAAAGATTAAGCTCTGCTTTTTGTTGGCATCAGTGAAGCCTTCTCACGAATGCTTTTTAGTACACTTGCGCAATAGCATAAGCTTCATTTTGCACACTAGCGGCATTTGACAACACAGAGTAAACTAAATCCTAATGAAACAAATAATTAACTACACCAGTAGTATGCAGCACCTCCACCAGCAGCTATCACCAGCAACAACAATATGAGAAAACTACTTCCAGGTGATTTCCGACCAGCATTCCTGAAAAGTAGAAAAAGTAAGTGCATACTTCTTGTATCAGAAAAGAGTTGGCAAAATAATCACAATTTTCGACAACGGCAGCCGTGTATTCCAACATAACTGATCTGTCATTTCTTCTGCTCTTCACTTAGTTTATTTAATGTTTCCTTCTAACCTTTTTTCTTGTTACGAGAAAGATATCAAACTTACTGTGAAAATCCTTTATTTCGAGGGAAATTTTGCTTAGTGTTTCCAGCTTCATAAATGCGTAAAAAACTGGAGTTTGAACTACCGATTCTATGAGGAATCAGACAAAAGCACTGTGAAGTTTTATAAGATGAACTAGAAGTTGCACGCAAAAGCCACAAAGCCTGATGAGATCTAGATACCAAAGATCCCTGAAAATAATGCTGGACTAATGATATGAATCAAAAAATTAAATATAACTATTAAATATAAATATTCTCAACTGTTTGCTCTTCATGTTTAAGCACAACGAAGAAATTTTTGAGATGATATCGGATAACAGTTTAGAAAATATGTGCTGAAAAAAGTGCTCAATTGCCATAATGAGAAATGAAATAAAAGACGGGTAAACAAGACTCATGGACAGGTTCCCAAATTTGTACAACTAAACAGCATGGTTTGCCTGATGAAATGAAACTAAACTGAAGAGTCGATGCGGATATATTACAGATCAGATCAGCAAAGTAAAAGGTGAAAGGAAAATTCAAAATGAAATTGAAATAGTTATTATTTATAGCCTGCTCATTATTAAACGAACCTGCGTCAAAAATTAAGGACCACAAAATAAGGGTGAAAAACCCATCAACAAGTCTGAATTTCCAAAACATTAGGGAAGGATGAGAACTGTGACAAAACTAGGATGAATGGAAAAGGAAGAGGCTACGCAGGCGAACTGTCAACGAATCGCATTTCGTAATAAGCTATACAAAATCATAGAGTTTCTTGTTTAGCCCGTTCGACAGAAATGATTACGAATGTAGTGCCTACATTGTAAGAAGTTATTTATTGCAAAGCATCACACTTATATAAAATTTAAACCTGTAGAATGCGAATCATAAAAACGATCGGAGATGAGGCCAATCACCTGAAATGATACTCATTCTAGATACTAGTGGATAAATAGAAAACACGAAAAATGAAATTTCCATTGTCATATCCAGATTACAACCACATCATCTAAAGTGCTTTTTTATCCAATGACTACAGCAATTTACATCCCCAAGAGAGTCAGCTGGTAATAACACTGTCATGGAAAAATGAACCTGATAATGATTACTAATAGTACAAGCTAGCAGATAATTTCAAGTAGTTAGAATAGACATCATTCTTGTCGTCAAGCACCATCGGCATTACTAGAAACACGCTTAGTACCGATGCAGAAGCATTGAAGAAACTTAATGCTTGCAATCCCTGACATCTTCAAACATGTAAGTACATGTGAATGGACGTTTAGTTTCACAGCGGTAATTTCATTAGTGGTCGCTGAGGTGTCAGAAGAGGGCCGAGGGAGGAAGAATGAGACTTCGTTTACCTTCAGGTAATGTATTCATATAGATCTACCGTTTGGTCAACTTTTCATTTCGGTGTATCCGGTCATTGTCCAGCAAAATATTAATTTTAGAAAAGAGCAAATGCCACTGGTTATTGTGTGCGGGAAACCATGTTCTGCAAAGAGTACACTTACTGAATGCTTCCGTAAATTCATTGTAACAAAGTGTCAGCAAGCTGAAGTGGTATCCGATAATATAAATACCTCATTTACAAGGTCGATATACAAAGATCCCCGCAAGGTTCCATTTGACACTTTGTACTGTTCTTTCTTTGTCTTTGGCGCGATTCTCACTAATTTTTTGTTATGCAAAACATTGATTCGGCCGTTGAATGCTTTAATAACAAATCTCCGATCGAAAATAGCAAAAGTAATATGAGGGTATCATTACTGCGATCAGCACACGTAGTTTGTATGATTAGCGGTACATTTTGGGTTTTGAAGTTGCCTTGTTCTAGGAACTAGAACATCGTGTATTATTAAAATCAGAGGTGCAACGCTTGCTTTCAGAAGATTGTTTGGTTATTTGCGATTCGTTAAATTACATCAAAGGTAGGCTTCACTTCGACTGAAGTCGTTGTACCGCTTATTCTCTGCTCCATACATATCTTCTTTTTACAGGTTTCAGATATGAGTTGTTTTGTATAGCAAAATTGATGCAGACAACATACTGTGTTCTGTACTGTCATGCTAGTGAGGATATATGCTTACAGCTTAATCTAGAGAAAAAAAAGACTGAAAGGTAACTTCGCTTTTTCCTCATTAATTGGATGAGTCGGTATGAAACAAATCTCTTATGAACAGATAGAAATGTGATGTCCTCAGCAGCACATGACATAAGAAATTAGATATTAAATATAGTCGATCCGTGAATTACAATATTTTGAATTCAAACTAGATACCATAGTGAAATTTAAAGATGTGTTAGAAATTTTTGGAAGGATTCTTTTGTCTACCTCGTTAGCACGGATTTTAAAATCCTCAATGCAAGGAAGTTCTACTCTTTTTGTGAAAATGAAAAGCGGATGAAGTTAAGCTGAGTAATGTTTCCATAGTCTTGATTTTTATTGACTTTGTCAGTATACATATTTCTTCCTTGCAAGAGGCTTTTGATGAATCTTATCAGTGAATCTGTTATAGATATAAAGCAGGTGATATAACTGCATTGATGATGCGTTTTGAAGAGCCTACTGCAACAAATCGGTGGGATTCTCCGCTTTTTAAGGTTGAAGTGGAGATTGAGCGTGAAAACCATCGAAGATATAATTCGAGTTTCGAACATTGCTTTCATTTTCTTGGATTAAATGAAAATAAATTACCTCTGGAAGATATGTATCTTTGGCTCTTCGAGGTGAGGCTTGTTCAAGTATGAAATGCAAGTATGTCATTTTTTTATTATATGTTGAACCTTGGATTTATATTTTTTTGCATTTAAAAATGTGCATTCATTACAGGGTAGGAGGTTGTCTGCTAATGAAAGTACTGAAACTGAATCACTTATGCCGGCAGATTTTCTACATGCTCTTGATCATATAACTAAGGAAGTTATAACTAGTGTTGTACAACAACAGCGAACTGCCTTGCCAGGCGATACCTTTATTATACCGAACTGTACTTCAGGCGACGACAAGGTTGAGTAATTTTAATAATACACTGTTGAGAAAATTTTATATAATAATGGATGTGATATATCTATATTTTCTAAATCCGATGTCTTCTGATGCAAGTGTTTAGTTGGTAACAGCTGTTGCAGATGCAGAGTAGGGTGAGGAAGATTAAAACGTAGATCATAAAAAAACATTTTAGTTTAGTTAATACAACCAAAACTTGCGATTCGAAAGAATTTTTTGCCGAACTTTATATTAATTTATGGGGCAAATATTATAGGGACTTGCGTCAGAAGACGATTGGGAACATTGATTTTTAGTAACGTACAAAATATATTTTGAAGTATTAGTCCTTTACATTATGTAAAATTGATTGTTAAGGTGCTTTTTACAAGGCAGCGTTCCTTTGTTGAACTCTCAGGACTTCGACGACAGTTCATCAATTACATGAAGATGCATCCATCGAATGATATGTCTAAATTTGCTTCGCTATTTATAAATTATCTAAATGCAAATCATTGATATTTTAGTTTCATTTATTTTTGCAGATTATTGCTCCGAAGAAGAAACACCTTGGTTCATATCATGAGGATAAAAGTAATGCAGTTGAATGTAAAAGATAGCCCTATATGGTTGTACCTTTTTTCCTTCTAAGCTTGCTAAATTTTCCGCACCGGACAAGGGAATTTATTTATTCTGTTGCTTTGCAATATTTTCGACTAGTTTT